GAAATAGCACAGTAACTAGCATTTCTGAATAGCAGTAGGTACTGTGCTAACTACCTAACATACAAAAACATACTTAATATGCATTTAATATTTGCATTGACGGTTTGAAGTAGGGTGTTTTATCATTTTCATTTTCCATAGACTTTCAGAAATTTGACCAAATTCCTAGAGCTAGTAGGACCTCCTACAGAGTTCTGATGCTAAGAGTCTGAGTTACTTCAGAGGCAAAGCTCTGAATTAATAAACAAATGAAACACCCCACTTGGCATTTCATGTTTTATAAGATATAATGACATCAAGGGGCTGTGACTTATCTTATTGTTGAAAAATATAATCTGTCGCCTTTCGAAGTCAAACCTATTTCAGACAAACCCTTTGCTGGGGCGAAGGGAGGGAGAATGCCCTGCCCAGCAATTCTCATCCAGTTAAAATATAAGTTAAGCCCCTTTGAAACACCAGTTTTTCTTCTGTCTTCTCCCCACGTACTTGCCATGTTTGTCCCTAACTAGTTTTTCTGGTTGATAGACAGCAATTTCATGGTTACAACCTTTATGATATTTAAGTGTTACAATATACACTTTTGTGTCCCCAAAGAGTTAAATATCTTTGAACAATTAAATTTTGGGGGAGAAAAGAACGATTTCTCCCTATATGTGAATTTTCTTTTTTTTTTTTTTTCTATTTTTTATGTGAATTTTCAAGCAGAAAATTTTAATAATATAAATAAGAGATGAGGTGAAATACCCAATACGTATAACAAGAATTCAAGGAATTCAAGCATGGTGTCCTTTCCCAGAATCTCACTGTTCAGCATCACTGTTTTGGTATTTTTGTGAACTCTCAAAACCCAAATATCTCCAGAGAGGCAAGGGTTGTAACTTCATGCTCCTTTTTTCTTTTTTTAAAGATAACCCATTACATTCACTATCACCTACAACATTCTCACAGTTCAGAAGAATTCTATTAAAATTTTTATACACTTTCTTTTTTGATGGCAGTGAGCCCCTTTTGCTGGATATCAGCCCTAGAGGCATGAATTATATATCTATAAATACACTTATAAAACAAAAAACCAGGCGGCCTTCAGGACTAAAATGGACCTTTTATATCTCTAATGATCTCTCTAGTTTAAAGAAAAGCACAATCCTATCAAAAAGGGGTATGTATGCCTGACTTTAAAATGCTCACTTTAAGGAATACAGATAGTTCTTATCCCAAATTAAAGAAAAATTCTGGGGATGGCATAAGAAGTCAGGGTTTTTGATGGATTACAGGTTTTGTATTACTCTGCCTGTAAACCTTCATGACTTTGGGTTCTTTGCTTCCAGGAATACTTTTGTAGGCAGAAAGAAACACATAGCTGATCACTGACTTCGTGGTCTCTGGGAAGTGAAGAAAATATTATCAACTGCCTGAACATTTCTGAATGTAGTCATTTTTGATTAAATAAACAATAAGCTTTGAATAGCCTCCCACCAAACTAAGTTATTTCTATTAAGAATCTAACAGTAGGAGGAATATGTCACTTCCTCCTCTCAAATGATGTGTGCCTTTGATTCCCCCCAGGACACCATTATCATCTCAATCTTAAAGATGGATGACATTAAAATTCATTACACCAACATATACACTTGTCCCAGGCATCTTTCATGTTTACAGTTATCTAAAATTTTCTACCTATTTTCACTAGAATTCTCATTTGTCATAAGGACCCCTCTGTATCCCAGTTGACTTCATTTTAAACTAAAGGCATTCTTTCCACTTCTTGAGATGCCAGGAAAGAGGGGTTAGGAAAGCTTCTACTACTTTTTGTCTAAAAATCAGCATAATTTGGGCTCAGATTTTCCCAACAGAGGAAAATCATTTATCATTTATCATTTTTTATCACTGCTACCAAGATTAGTAATGAAATGGCAAAGAAAATTGAAGATCAGTGGTTCTGAAAGACTTTGTTTTCTAAACTCTGAAATAGTACACCCATCATTTTGGTTTTAAAATAAGCCCTTACCATTTCACTTTGGGACCCACCTGGCTTTTAGAAGCTCTTTATAAATTAACACGCCTCAGAACCCTCTTACTGTACAGTTCTAAAAAGTGTGGCTACTCTGTTTTAATCTAAGATACTTGCTTTAGTGTGTTAAATGAGAGGTAGATAGCAAAGGAAAAGTAAGTAATTCAACTGCAGAATGAGCAGCTTGTAGATTTTGCAACAATAAATACACTGTGGAAGCTTTAGCTAGCATTGAAAAGAGAAAACAAACCAAAAAAAAAAAAACCAAAAAGGCAAATTTAAGACTCCAGTTGAGTGTCACAGATAGTACACAAAAACTGCAACTGAATGTCACTCTATCATCATGAAGATGGTGATCTGAATCCCACTTAAAGGGACACTAGCCTCTTACCCGACAGTTTGCCATTGTATATAAACTATTTGTACCAGGACTTTGCCTCCCAAGATACTGTTATTCCTTGTCCTTTAATCCATTTTCCTCTTTGTTTACTCTACATGGGGTAGATTTGTCATTGCCTTAAGGAACAAATGACCTGGTGTTTGTGCCAGAAAAGAACACACATATTAAACCATTGTTATTGATAAGTTAAAAAAAGAAATCCTGCCTTGTCCTCTGAAGGTAAGTAAAATTGTTCCTGAGAAATCCTCACGGAAGCTTTAGAAAGATCCCATGGGCTTTCACTTCCTGTCTCTCATCACTGCTCTCCTGTTACTCAGACATTGCCCTCTTTCATCTGTTACCTCCTATCTACCACTTGGGGCCCCCTAGCAGAAGAATAATAAAGTTTGCTCAGAGCTAGTTTTAGGACTGGCTTACCTTTAGGGAACTGCACTCCAAATCCCATTTATAAAAACTAGCAAAAGTGTGTAAATTATGCATTAAATAAGTTGCAAGGCACATGAATTATATATGTTCACAGTGAAAAAAAAAAAAATAGGTGTATGCTGGTCCAGTACAGCAAGTCTGAATCTTTGGCAAACCTGCAAAGATCATTTAGCTCAATAGTTTCAAACTCTGAGCACTAGAATAGAGGCTCAGGTTTAGAGGACATACTATAACATCATCTTGAGAATCTCAAAAAGGTGTTTTCTTGTTTTAATTTCATAGTAAAGTTATCACATAGGCCAGAGATGGCAGTACGACATTCTGTTGTCCCTTCCCTTCCAAATGATGCACATTGTATACTTTATCAGCTCCCTCCCAAACTCAGTTTCTTTCTGCAGAACACAATTGTTATTGGCTAAACAGGGAGAGAATAAAGGCTTCTGACATGGGCACCAGCTGTTCTCAGTGCTTTGAAGGTAGGCATTAGCTTTCTTCTCAGGAAGCTCTTCTCTTAGCAAACCTGAAACCTGGACAATTTGGATGCACAGGAAGCCTTCCACACCTTGCATCAATGTTTCAAGATGCAAGGTGTGGAAAGCTTGCATCTTCAAATACTTCCTGTTCATCCACAGGGAGAGTTTTTAATTTGTGAATCAATCTTCATAAGAAAAATCCTGGAAAGCTGTGTAGGCTCAAAGGCTTATTCGCTTGGAGTACCCCTAGAACTCCGGTACTGAATCACCTCTTCATCTGGCTTTGTTACTGACGAGGAGGGCACCTCAGCTACAGTCCTATCTGTATAGCCACTCAAACACTGACTATACCATCACGGCAAAGTTATGACCAAGGGCAAGATACACAGTACATGGTACCAGCTGACAGCCCAATGCGTCAGCTCAGAAAGAGGCCTTCAACTATAATGTCACATTATTATCTCAACTTTCTGACTAACTGGGGCAGGGAAACATTCATAGCATCCCTGTGAGTGGATTTTTTTTAAATGATAGTTGCAATATGTTTTTCTGGAGTAAATTCAATAGAGACATGCACTATAACTTAAGATTCTTCCTTTGCTTGGAAAGTAACATCATAAAGAGACACTGAGGAGAGATCGATTATCTTGCTGACATAAAAGCATAGCAATCTTGGCCTTACAGCCAGGTGAGCAACCACTACTGTGGAATATTTGTGGTACTCATCATCTGCAAGTCCCTGTGATTTAATGAACTATTCTGAGCTTTCTTTGCTGACTTAGTCCACATGATTTTAAGCGCAGTAACAAGGGTCTATGGGTAAACCAATACATTTTTGCCACACTAGTTAGGAAGTACTGATTTAAAAAACTCACTTTGCTAAGTCAACATTTCTGAGTCTAAAAGTTTCAAGTCATGGATATCTAGGGTGGTTATTTTGAAAATCTAGCTTCCAGCTCAGGATATATTGCAACTAGCATGAAAGTAAAGCATAATCATATTAGACGAATACAAGGCAAGTTGTCATTTAACAGTCAGGGGAATTTCTGGAAAAGCACAATCAAAATGGATTTGTTAGATGAACATTTTTAGCTTCTTATAAATCCCTATCACTCAGCTAATAAGGACTGTGATTCTTAAGTATGAAATAAGAGGTAACTTAAGAAAACACAAAGGATACAATCTTTTATGTTTCTTGATCTTGATCTCAGTAAGATGGTGAATAGGTCATTCTCATCTTCCTGGGAGCAAATGAGTAGAAACCCAAGAAGGCAATAAAGAAATCTTATATGCATATTAATAAATTCATCACTTAAGCACACCATGTGTGCATGTACCTACACATACCAATTTTGATAGCCAGCCAATATTTATAACAATATAATTGAATGTCATCAGCACATAAGCAGATCCTGGAAAGAATTATATACAGTTGAATTCTATCTAAATAATTACTTGAGAGTATCTTCAAAAGTCTAAGCCCCTGATCTAGGGATTTCAGGTTTGGGTGGCAAGAGGCATATAAAAGGCTCTAAATCTGCCTAGAATGATTAGACTACATCCAGAGAAGATCCCGATCATTTTATTGTAATTTCTGAGGCATATGCTGTGAACTACACTGGTTGAAAGTGACTAGGAGTTGTGTTTACAAGTGTACTAATTCTGTTTTTCTTTTTCTTTTCAATCCCAGGAGGTGAATTAGTTATCCCTCTTCTTGTAGAAGACCCTTTAGCTACCCCTCCTATTGCTACTCGTGCACCTTCCATTACACTTCCCCCTACCTTTCGCCCCCTCCTCACCATTATTCAGACCACCAAAGATTCCCTGTCCATGACCTCTGAGGCGGGGTTACCTTGCTTGTCGGACCAAGGCAGCGATGGTTGTGATGATGATGGCTTGGTGATATCTGGGTATGGCTCAGGGGAAACCTTTGACTCTAACCTGCCCCCTACTGATGATGAAGATTTTTACACCACCTTCTCCTTGGTAACAGATAAGAGTCTTTCCACTTCAATCTTCGAAGGTGGCTACAAAGCACATGCGCCCAAGTGGGAATCCAAGGACTTTAGACCTAACAAAGTCTCCGAAACTAGTAGGACTACTACCACATCTTTATCCCCTGAGCTGATCCGCTTCACAGCTTCCTCCTCGTCTGGGATGGTGCCCAAATTGCCAGCTGGCAAAATGAATAACCGTGATCTCAAACCCCAGCCTGATCTAGTCTTGCTTCCGTTGCCCACTGCCTATGAGCTAGACAGCACCAAACTGAAGAGCCCACTAATTACTTCCCCCATGTTCCGTAATGTGCCCACAGCAAACCCCACGGAGCCGGGAATCAGACGGGTTCCGGGGGCCTCAGAGGTGATCCGGGAGTCGAGCAGCACAACAGGGATGGTCGTCGGCATTGTGGCTGCTGCCGCCCTCTGCATCTTGATCCTCCTGTACGCCATGTACAAGTACAGGAACAGGGACGAGGGGTCCTACCAAGTGGACGAGACGCGGAACTACATCAGCAACTCCGCCCAGAGCAACGGCACGCTCATGAAGGAGAAGCAGCAGAGCTCGAAGAGCGGCCACAAGAAACAGAAGAACAAGGACAGGGAGTATTACGTGTAAAAACACGCGAACACTGCTCACACGCGCGTTTCACAGTCATGTCTATCCTCGCCTATGAATCTTTGGACGGTGAGATCTCACAGAGGTCAGAACTGCTGGAACTATGAAATGGGGTGTCTACCACGACTCTGGTGGGGAAAACCATTTTTTTTTTAAAGGACACACACACACACAGCGATGCATCTCCCTCTAAAGCTCGGCCACCGCCTGCGGCGAGGTGCCAGCGGTCGCTGGGAGACGGACGGTCTCGTGCCCTTGCTGTATCATAAAGCACACACTTAGCGCTCTGGAGCCGGCAGGTGGCTCCCCCACTTCCGCAGGCCTGGAAGCTTCCTTCTCCGGAGGACCTTTTTACTAACAGGTAGAAGACTTCATGGCTTACTTGTTCCATAACTCCAAGTGAGTCTGTAATGATGTTTGTGAAGCTTGACTGTAACCATGTTTTTTCGGTTTAATTATGTAAAAAA